ACCAGTCTAGTTTGACTTTTTCAATGCATTTATTCTAGAGATAATCCGATCAAGGCATTTATTCGAACTAGCTAAGCCATTTATTCGATCCAGTCAAGGTATTTATTCCAGCTACCTGAGTTAAGGTATTTATCCCAACAAGGCAGAGTATCTACTCGACAAGAGTAGTGCCTGTATATATGAAGACCGGTGCCTGTATATTAGGCGCCTTCAAAGAAACCGTCAGGAAGCTTCCACGATGAATCAAACGCCGTCATGGTCTCGACAGTCCGCTTGACCACGTCTGGAGCGTATTGCAACTCAATCAGCTGTGCAGCCGTGGCTGTGATCATTGATACAAATGGTCAGTCACTATCGACACGTCTTGTTCTGGAGACTGAGAGTGGGGCAAGGACATACTTGGAATAGGAACGCCCTCGAGGTACTCTTCCATTTCGGGCGGAATGTCTTCGTCGTAGCCGTAGTTGCTCATTATCTGCATGGCTGAGGCTCGGTTTCGTCGGATGGACTCGTAGATTTGTAAACGCTCTCTGATCTTCTCTGGTAATGAGGTGGTGGTCGTGGAAGAAAGGCCTGCCATGACCAGGCCGAGGACTAGACCGTCTTCTATTGCTTGTGAGCCTCCTTGGGCGTGGTCTTTTGTGGAGCAATTGGTCAGCATACTTGTTCATTAGGCTACAATATCTGTGGGGGCCATACTTGGAAGCATGGGATGAGCTGCGTCCCCGGCGAGTACCAGCCCATCTTTATGCCATGTCGGAATAGGCGGCCGGTAAAGGAGCGGCCAGCGTTTGACCTCCGTTGCTTTGCTAATTATTTACATGCCGTTAGGCACCCAACATGGGTTTTCGGATGACGTGGTGGGTTCATACCTCATCACGGCGAGTAGTCCGGGATGAAAGTTGGAGTACTTGGCCAGGACCTCGGATGTGTGTACCGGTGCCAGCCAGTCTGTTGCTCATGGGTATCTTGGAGTCAGTGAATGTCTTGGGCATGTGAGCAATGATATACGCACCCTCCCGTGTGGTCTCGGCATCTATCAGCACATCCTCGTCGTAGATGAGAGCAGCAAAGTTAAGTACCTCGTAACTGTACACACATATCAGTTCACGTCACTTGTATAACGAAGGTGGAATAAACAGCACTTACTTTCGACAAGGATAACTAATCAACCTCTTCCGCCCCTTGTAATCAGCCCAGACCCGTGCCCCAAGAAAATCGACGCCCTCGGTAAAGAACTTGGTCTCGGGGTCACTGTCGACTTCAGCCCGGGGAATAAGGAATCGATACGCCATGTTGACATTACATCCAGTTCCGGGAGCTTGGGGTCGGTGCTTCCTTCCCAAGACGTACTCGACACCGATGGAGTGTACGCCGTCTGCTGCAATGACCAGGTCGGCCTTTTTGATCGTCCCGTCTTTGAGGATGATCGATGGATCTTTTGTGTTCTGTCCATGGTGTACCCCGGTCAGCATGCTTGTCATTTCAAGTTATTGCTCTTATATTCGGAACTTGAGATATTGGAAAAGCAAGCCCGATATCATCAAAAGAACAGAAGAAAAGAAAACTCACAAACCCAACAACCTCCAGTCCCCCCAAAATCTGCACCCTCCTCCCCTGTCTCGCCCCAATCGCCAGATCCTTCAACGCAGAATGTAAATCAACCCGATGGGCATAATACGCGCTCGCCCCAAAAAGCTCCTTGTTCCTCGAGAAATCCACCCTCGCAACGGGCAACGCCTCGAGCGTCTCAAAGTCATTAAAACACATCCCCCTGGCCTCGCAAAACCTCGCCTTGACAGGATCCAGCCCCCACGGCAGCAGGAATCTGTTCACGTTGGGCGGGACATTGATCGCCGCGCCGATCTCGTTGACCATGGAGCTGCGTTCGTATATCGTTACGCTGTGGCCTGCTTTGCGGAGGGAGATTGCTGCTGTTAGGCCGCTTAGGCCTGCGCCGACGATTATCACGTTCATATTTCGTAGAGACTAGACGACGCTGTGAACGGACTGGACTGGGTTCTGGGGTCTGAGGTTTGAAGTGGGAGGTCAGGATCTGCTGGTTCAGTTTGCTTCAAGGATAGACGGCGTTTTATAAGTATCTGGCCTCGGGAGACTATCCATTCCAATAAAACGCCGAGTGAGCCGGTGATGGACTACAGGATCCGTATATACGAATGTAGCTGCTCGGACATCAATCATCATATAATTGCGTGGGGGCCTCGACGCCTTGTGCTACCCGAGTTGACTCACTTATCATGCAATGCAACTCGCGAGATAAGCGCTCGGAAGCCGTGTGTACGGACGAAGATGCTGCTTTTTGTGACTGTCACACGTCCCCTCGACAAGTATTATTAATGTTGTTGGCAGTTTGACATGCCTGTCGTGTATACTGGACACGTTTTCGTTCAAGACTTGAAGTGGTGTGAATTCCATGACACAGTATCACAATGGCCGGATTCCACGGCACCGAGATGTTCAAAGGACCATAGATCGCCAAGGGAGGTATACAAATGCTCGCTCAGAGGTATAAATACTATTAGTACACAGCCCAAACCAGTGGAACGCTCTAGGTATATCCCAACGGAAACGATGCATTTTGCAAGCAAGCCAAAATTAAAACAAAAGAAACCAAAGGATGATATGACACTCTCACTTCTTTTCAGAATCTCCACTAACCACCCTCGCACCATCGCTCTTCTCATCAGGGACCTTATTCGGAACGGCCCCCTTATCAAGCTTCTGAGCCACCTTCCCAAACTTGGCTTTAAGCTTGGACTTCAAGCCGGCAATATTGAACTGCGGACCCTCGTCTGCAGCCACGAAGCGACGAACAAGAATGTTGAACATGCCACCAAACGCTAGGGCAATGGCCGTCGAGGTGAAGATGATCACGTTATACGGCATGCTAAAGTCGGGAGTAGGCAGGTTAAGCAGTAGCGAGGTGGTGCGCAGGTTGTAGGCCGCAAACTTGCCATCTGTGTTGTTCGGGTTGAGGATGGTGATGACCGCTGCGGCGACGTCAAAGCCACGGTTGGCATCGGGCGGGTACTCGGTATATCGGAGGATAGATTTCTCAAAGTCGTATGTAAGAAAGACTGTCGACGAGGGCGGCACCCGCATGCGCAACTCCAGCTGAGTTCCCCTCGCGCGGTCGACAGCGGGACGGTAATAGACTTGCTGGATCAACGAGTTGTGCTTGCCTGGATGGCCATCGATTCGCGCCTCGATGGTATGTGTGTAAATGCGCATGAACCAAGGCAGAGACTCCATGTAGATGAACTCGACTTCCGTGTCCGGGCTGGGATTCTTGAGAATGGTCTGGACACCGCCGCGTTCTTGTCCATGGCCCGTGAAACTCCGTTCAGCGTAGAGGAGGGGCGTTTCTGGCTTGATGAGGTCTTGTGCCTGCATCTCCTCTTGCGACTTCAATTCTTGCTGGCCTTCGGGACGTGGAAGGATCATCTCAAAATCGGCCTCTGCTGGGACCTCAAAGCATCGCTGCTCCATATTGGGGTCCTTCTTCTCTACCGCTCCGTTGGAAATGAAGACGGTTCGAGACTCGGGAACTTGGAGGCACACTGGAAGCACGCTAGGATCAGTGAGAGGGCATGTCCCCTTCATGACCTTGCCGAAAACTGTCTGCAGCGACCACTCCTGGCTGGCCGCGTAATCTGCAGGAAAACAGGTATCGTCGGCGCTGTAGGGCTTCGATTTATCACAGTTGAGTTCGTAGCTGGGTGGAGGTCGAGGAATCGGGTTGCCTAGGAACACCAGTTAGCACGAGTACGACGGGGACCGGTGGCCAGAATAAGCATACCTCTTGGCCTCTTGGATCTCTCAATATCCAGCACCATATCGATTGTTTGCTCAATCTCTAAAACACACTCGCCCTGGGTAGGACAAACTGGCCGAACGTCGATCGCCATGCTCTGCCAGGAGGCATCAAAGAGCTTGTGTCCATCCAGCAGGCTGGCAATCCCGGCCTTGCCCTTGCAGGGTAACAGCTTTAAAAACGGCGTAAGGTTCTCGGTGCATACTACTTCGTGGGGCAGCACGCCATAGAGGAGATGCGTATTTGCCGCCGTCGAGTTACGATGGTCGCCCTCGGGCTGGAAGGACATGGCCGGTCGCGTAGTTCTTGTGCCGTCGATGAAATTGAGAGAGGCGCAAAAGAGGCCCGAAAGCGCATTGGTGAGGATCAGCCATTTCTGGTCGGCCCTGTGAGTTGTCGGTCAGCGCAATTGTTAGAGGCAGGTCTGACGGCAGCATGTGCATACTCTTCATCAGTTTCGGCATCGAGCCACGCCCACAGCTCAACACCAGTCCCGCCCTCGCGCGCCCCATCCCAGGGCCTTGCGCCCCAGCTCTCTGCATCCCACCGGCCCAGGTTGAACCTCAGGTGTAGCTCGCGCGTTCCAGCATGTTGGAGAATCTGGCCAAGGGACCTGGGGAAGAGTTGGAAGTTGTGCGCTTCGAAGGCTGAGAGTGTCGTGTTGGAGCGGAAGTTGAAGCTCGCCAGGAGGGACGAGAGCGGCAGTGGTCGAAGCACTAATTGTTCATGATAATCGGAAGTCGACGTCCCCAAGGCCGTGCTTGGAGCAAGGGCTGCAAGAGAGAGGCAGGGAAGGAGAATGGAAGAAAGGAATTGACGCATTTTTGCCCTCTCACGGCGGACAGTCCATTGATATAGATGATATACCTTTTCCACTACCTGCGAAGTGAAGATGCTGTGACAGGCTGATTCGTTTCCGTCCCGTTGTCTGTCAAAAGTGTCAATCAACACCAGGTGCCGGCCGCAAGGGTCAACGGCTGGGCGTGATAAGTGGGGCGCGACAAGTGGGGTGCCAAACCCCGACCCCACAACCAGACCCCACAACCAGACCCCACATTTTCAGGGGCCAAAACAGACAACACCGAGCAGCTTTTCCTGATATAGGACGGCTAACTGAGAACTCTCCCAACGAATCCCGCACTGTTGAGTACGGATTTAATAAGTGGGGCTGCTGGCGCAACGGTAGCGCGTTCGACTCCAGATCGAAAGGTTATCCGTTCAAATCGGGTGTGGCTCATATTTTTGGTGTTTTGTTGACTTGGTTTCACCTCTTTTTGGCTCGTAGTGTGTATGCCGCATCCAAGTCCAGTTTCAAGTCCATATTGGACTAGCAATCCAAAGGTTATCCGTTCAAATTGGGTAGGGATTATATCGTTTTACATCTGTTACTGTTCTGGTCTCTGTTCAAACTCGGCTGTTCTTGACTAACCCATCCATTGGATTCTTCTTTTTTTTCTTCGCAGCTTGTATTGTGCCCGAATCCAATTCGAGAACGGTGTTGCAAGAATACTCGCAACATATCCCATCGTATTTGGTCGGCGGATGCTCTCTCGCGCCTGGATATTCCCCCTATTTGACAAGAACGGAACAATTCAGATAGATTTCGTGATATCTGCTTGTTTCATTGAACAGGTTGCTCCGGTCAAACAACAAAGTTGTCTAAGAGAGAGCTGAGAAAGGAGAAAAAAGCCCACAAAAACAAAAGCCTCAGTATCAGAGATCTCCTGGTATTCGAGCGGCTAATACCACCACCAACTAATTGACTGCCCGAGAGATGTGTTAGCCATGGTGGCGTAGACCTCGAAAGGGCGGGAGCAGTGGACCGCATCCAGAGACCAAAGCCGGTGACGAAGGGAGTTCAGGAGACCTGATAAACAGCGTGGACTTGATAACCCCCGACAGGCACACAAGAAGGTATCGCCGGAACATTGCAGAGTTCCGATTATGTGGCCCTTGACTGCCGCTGATATCCCTGGCTGTGTATCTTGCTTCCGGACCCGAGGAGGCTGGGAAGACATCGATGAGCAGTTTCTCAGCGAACGACTGATCATATACCTAGGGGCTTAATATTCTACTTCCGTATTCAGGTACCAGTCTTCTTATATATAGGCACTGTTCTTGTGGAATGGATGCCCTTAACTGCCTCGAATAAATGCTTTGACTGGAGTCACTGGACTAGATGAGAGCCTTGACGAGCTAGAATAAATACCTTGGCTTGTTGGAGTAAATACCTTAACTAGATTAGACAAAAAGCCTTAACTTGCTGGAAGAAATGCCTTAACTAGTTCGAATAAATGGTTTGACTGGCTCGAATAAATGCCTTGACTAGCTGGAATAAATGTCTTGACTGGTTAAATCAAATGCCTTATGATTAATGGGCTCGAATAAATACCTCTGGGCTGGAATGTCACTGATGACAACCCCCCCCCGAGCTGTACGGCCCCCTGTACATACTGTACAAAAAGGTGCTGTGGGGTGAGTGGGTACAGTACTGTACACTACCGGGGAGATACCGTTTGCTTGCAGGCTGCAGCACAGCTGACCCTTCACCAATTGGGAGGGACGATGCAAGTGATTTCATTCTCAAATACTTTCTGCCGATTCGACTCGCGATTTTTACCACCACCACAACACAACACGCACCATCTCACGGCACTCAGAAAGCTTTATACACCCATCCGGGCGCATCTAACCGGACTTGCAAAAATCACGATGGCGGCGGAACAGCGCAAGCTGCTGGGTAAGTCGCCCTTCCAGTTCTGATTGTCCCAGAGTCCCCGTCCCCATGGCTAACACATCTACAGAGCAGTTAATGGGCGGCGGCATTGCCCGATCAAATTCCCAGATTTCCCTCACGGACCCAAAAGCCTGCCGCTCCTACATCGCCGGCAACTGCCCCCACGATCTCTTCACCAACACCAAGCAGGACCTCGGGCCCTGCTCAAAAGTCCACTCCGAGGCCCTCAAGGCAGAGTACGAAGCCCTCTCCGATTCCGAGAAGAAAAAGACAGGATTCGACTACGACTACATGCGCGACCTAGCCAAGTACATCGACGACTGCGACCGGCGCATCTCGGCGGCCCAGCGCCGCCTCGAAAAGACCCCCGAAGAGATCCGACAGACAAACGAGCTCCTCAAGCAAATATCCGACCTGAACGAGTCGATAGCCTGCGGAACCGTCGAAGTCCAGATCCTCGCCTTCCAGCTCGGTGACGTCGGCCGCGCCTATGACGATTTTTTCAAGGTTAAGCAAATGCAGGCCCAAAAGGCCGAGAAGGAGCGCGAACTCAAGTCCCTCTACGACACGTCAGGCCCATCAGGTCACCAGAAGCTTCAAGTTTGCGACGTATGCGGGGCGTATTTATCTCGCCTCGACAACGATCGACGTTTGGCCGATCACTTCTTTGGCAAGATGCATCTCGGATACGCCCAGATGCGCAAGACGTACGAGTCCTTCCCCAAGGAGATGAGGCATCAGCGTCGGCCCATGCAGATGTCCAGTGTTAACGAGGAGGAGATGGGCGGTGTCCCCACAGGTCCGGGCGGTGGAGGTTACGGTGGTCGTGGACCGCGTGGCGGTTACCATGGTGGTCGTGGTGGTCGCGGAGGACGTCGTGGGGGATGGTAACTATGGGCGACGGTCTCTTTCTCAAAAGGTTCGATAGCATGGTAAAAGGTGTTTAGGCGTTAACTGGGAACCTGGGTAGGCTACATGGGCTGGAGTTACGGGGCTATGGTTGGGTCTTTTCACGCATGAAGCAAAATACCGCGGGGCGATTCAGATGCAAATATCAGGCAAGGCGTAGGTGCTGCTTTCATCATACAAATACATAATGGGGTATCCCTTTTTCCGCCTCCAAAGAATGCTGCCTGTAATACGTACTACCAGTAGTCACTAGACTGACTTGCTATACATTATCCGTTGTGATTTCTTTTCCTGTCATTATCAACGTGTCATGTTCCTGTCCCATCCCATACTCATTCAAGGTTTTGTTGGTTTACTCTCAGTCGGATAGACTACCGCCTCACCGATATCGCGCCTCGTGAAGCTCATGAACGCTGCAGCTTCCCGAGGAGACAATCCAGAGTGAAAAGCTTCCTCTGTTTTGCCCTCCTTCTTGTCGTCCTTTTGTTGGTTGTAGCTACTCTCAGTCGGATAGACCACCTTCTCAACGATATCGCGCCTCTTGAAGCTCATGTTTGCAACATGGGCTGCAGCAGCCCGAGGAGCCGATCCAGAGAGCGAAGCTTCCTATGTTTTGCCCTCCTTCTTGTCGTCCTGCGCTGCGACCTCGTCATCCCACTTACCAAGAGGCGAGAGGGGTGAGAAGACTGCTTGCTTCGCCCATGTGCCTGCTGCGGCGGGGGTCTTCGTGTCGATCTTTGTTGTTGTTGGCTCGGTATTCTTGCTTCCGGGGACGGATCCCGGCAAGGCAGGGAATTCTTCGGGTGCAAGAGGTGGCTTGTCGGCCTCCTTGGTCCGGTTGTTGCCCTTGCTTTGGACATCAGAATAACTACCGCCACTGGCGCCATCATGAGCCCGATCCCGATCCCGATCCTCACCATCAGTGGCGTCAAACAATGCGCGATGATGTCCGCCTCTTCCTCCACCACGGCCTCGTCCACCACGTCCACCGCCGCGACCTCTGTACCCACCTCTGTCATCACCGCCGGCACCAAATCGATCCTCCCCATTGCCACTACCATTACCATCAGCATACCGACTGGCACCAAGCCCACCACCAGACCTAAATCCCCTCACCCAACCATTAGCCCCCCTAAACCGTGTCCGCTCCTCCTCAGCAAGCCGCTCATCCTTGCCCTCATCCCAACCACCCTCCTTCATGCCCATAGCAGCAAGCTTCCGCTCCCGGTTCTTGGCCCGCTCATCATCAAGACGCTTGGTCTTTTCCTCCTCGGCCTTGCGTCTCTTGTCCTCTTCTGCCTTGCGACGACGGGCCTCCTCCATACCCCTAGCATAAGCAGCTGCGTGCTCGACCTCGTCGCGCTGGGCCTTTTCAAACTTGCGCGTCTTTTCCTCGTTGAGGATGCGCATCTTTTCCATCTTGGCGATGAGTTCCTCCTCTGTCGGCTTTTTGCGCGGGTTGACGCCCGATCCGATGCGGGATTCGGAGTTGACCGAGGCAGTGTTTCTGCCGACTGCGCCGGGCTCGCGGGCTGCGGCTGGTTCTTTGGGGGCTGTCGGTGGTGGCGGGGAGGTTGAGGTTGGCGGGATCGTTGGAGTCTCGCTTGCTGGGGCGGCATTGTTCGGTCTGTTGTTGTGCTGCTTGTTGTTGTTGTTGTTGTGGTGAGAGGAAGGGCCGCGCGGGGGCTTGTTGTGTCGCGAGTTGGCTAGCTGCGATTTGGGCGCCTGTGGTGGTTGTGACGAGAAGGGCGCTGATGGTGCTGTGGAGGCAGCAGTGTATGAGCTGACATCTTGGATTGGCGTCGGATCGGGGACGGGAACCGGGACGCTGATGATCTCTTGTTGGTGTTCGGGGATGGGCTCATAGTCGTCGGCAAAGAGGTCGTCGTCAGTGCGACCGCCGAACTGGTCGTTCAAATCCATCTTGTCGTTTTGCGCGGGGAGTTCTCTGTCGAGTACTATACGGTAAATAGCAATAGCGAGGCTAGAAAGGATGTTGCTTAATTCTGCTTTACGTGCTCGACGTTCAAGAAATTCAAGAAGAAGCAAGGTAAAGCGCAGGTTAAAGATGTCTGGAGGGGGAGAGTCGGAGTTCCAGAAAGAGGGAGACTTTAGCTCCCGCGTGCGAAGGCGGGAGCCCCACTGTGAGGTTCGAGGATGGAACAAAGGCACAAGAAGTGGGGAGATTCCCCGTGCCTGAACGCTAAATTCGCTGTGTGGAGGCTTGGAATCCTTGCTGGGTTTAGGGCTTGGCACATTCACCTTACCTTTCCCCTGTGACCTCACTGACTTTGCTGATGTGCTTGATCTCGGCGCTATCAAGTACTTGAAAGTTTTGAAGAAGACTTCATTCCACCACCTTTCTGCTTGCAAGCGATTGTTATTGTTACCAAACATCTCAAGGCGCACATCATCCCGCGAGGCAACCATTCACTGGTGAGCCTTTACGTTCATAATGCTTCCTCAAATATGTGGTTCCGGCCGAGTCGTGGACATGGGATTCAATTCTTTCCCAAAATGGCACGTACACAGCTGAGCGGACCTGGGATCTCATGACGTACTCGAAAGTGTGATTGTACTCTGAAAGATCC